GCAAAATAGTAAGCTAAAACTTGGAGGAATTTACTCTATTACCTGAAATAATTGCCACAAGGATTACATCGAAGAAACTTTGTCAGAGTTAGCTCCTCCTTAATTTCCTAATCGTTCACTAGGGGGTCGCTCTCCCTACACTATAAGTACTGGGCAATTTCTTGCCTCGTTCTCTTTTTAATTTGCATTTCAGCGGACACATTTGAAAATGTGATTCTCTTAAATGGCAGAAAAGAGGGAAAATAAAAAAAATAAAAAAAAAACACCAACTTGTTCCAAAATATTTGCTGCTTGACACCCTCCCTATCCCTGCCTAGTGGGAAGTGAGGTCTGCATGTAAAAAAAAAAAAAATGTTATTTCATTACATTTTAAGACTCTGTCCAGTAAGAAAATATGCAGCTGGAACTTTGACCAGATCTATCTACCAATGAAGTTGCATGTGAAAATATAAGCTAGCTGTCTGTATTGAATTTTATTTTAATTTATGCATATTTACCTACATATATTATTTGATTATTATATTTCCTATTTATAATATTATTCTATTTTTTTTAAGTTCATATTGTTTTCAGTTAAAATCTGGAAATTTTCCACCATATTTTACTGAGATTTTTACTTTCCGAAATAATAGTTTATAATTGTAATTTAGATATACAGGAGAAATGCTATCAGTTTAAATCAGGAGAATATGGGCTAAACATGGCAGCTGTCTTGATATTAGAACATATTTTGATTTAGTGAAATGACTTCAAAAGAACAATCTGATTGTTAAAAATGGCTCTGAATATAGAAATGAGAACAGTGAAGAAATAATTCACAATTTTTTTTTTTTTTTTTTGTGTGTGTTTACACACACAAAAAAAATTGTGAATTATTTATAGCAAAGAAGCTTTAACATTTACCAAAACTGTTGTGTAGCTGTAAGCATGTCACAGTCGTTTTTTATGTTGGCCACAGATGGACAGATTTTATATAAGTTTTTTATTTTAGTTGGTGTTTGTTTTTTTTTTATACATGTTCTTATTGGTTTAACATGATAATCTGGATTTACAACTACAAACTGATAACAGTTTGCTATTATTAGAATTGTTCTAATATTTATTTAGCTGTTTTTTTCCCAATATGAAATAAAATAAGAGGCGGATACCTTTTTTGGTAGGGATGTGATTTTCAAGGTATCAAAATTGTGTTAGTCAATATGACTTGAGTCTATGCACACAAAAAATTTATTGAGTATTTCTTTATCAAATCCACATAAAGCAATGCTGGTTTTATAGCTATGCCAAATTGGGGGTTGTTAATTGAAACAAAAGCTCTAATTTATTTAATTCAGGCTTGGGTGAATTTAATAAACTGTGACTTATACGTGAAGAGATTGATCCAGAAAGAAAATACATAAAGCATAATTTACTTCTCCTTTGATTTATTTACTAACGTTATACCTGTCAAAATTAATGGAATTATTTTTGTATCAGTGTAGCATCTGTGCTCTCTACGCAAGTCGAGTGTAGCATCTGTGCTCTCTACGCAAGTCGAGTGTAGCATCTGTGCTCTCTACGCAAGTCAAGTGTAGCATCTGTGCTCTCTACGCAAGTCGAGTGTAGCATCTGTGCTCTCTACGCAAGTCGAGTGTAGCATCTGTGCTCTCTACGCAAGTCAAGTGTAGCATCTGTGACGCAAGTCGAGTGTAGCATCTGTGCTCTCTACGCAAGTCGAGTGTAGCATCTGTGCACTCTGCCCAGGACCAGTGTAGCATCTGTGCACTCTGCCCAGGACCAGTGTAGCATCTGTGCACTCTGCCCAGGACCAGTGTAGCATCTGTGCACTCTGCCCAGGACCAGTGTAGCATCTGTGCACTCTGCCCAGGACCAGTGTAGCATCTGTGCACTCTGCCCAGGACCAGTGTAGCATCTGTGTGTTCTGCATGGAACCAATGTAGTATCTGTGCAACCTGTCTAACTTAGTACTTGTTAGTTAATTTTACCATGTTGTTCAAGCAACAGAACATTGGCCTAATTGTTTTGTTACTTGCCTCTTTATCTCCAGATTGGACATTTGACTTGAAGCACTTTGGGTATGAACCTAACCAAAGAGGGATTTTCATTTTATTTCATATCTATATATATAAGCATCTTTAAATGTTTTTTATTGACACTTTTTTTTCTTTTTTTAAATTCATCCCGAGCAAAAAAAAAAAAAGGGAAGCCACTAAGATGCAAGGGATTACTGAGTTCTATAAAATATGAAAGTACAAGAGATAGTGTAAAAGTAACACCTTGTTAATTTCCACAGAAACAACAAATTTCTTTAAATACTAAATCTCACATTATTTACATTATTTGGACTATTGTCCTCATCTTTGTCACCTTATTTATTACAATGTTTCGTCCGTTGTACACTCCGGCTTTCTTCAGGTGGTTGGAATATCAAACTGAACCCTTTATTTCACTCACTGGGTTAGACTGTTCTAGTTCCATGTGCCATTGAGGGAAATAAAAGGTTCAGTTCGACATTCCAACCACCTGAACAAGGTTGGAGCATACAACGGCCAAAATGTAATAAATATGGCTACAAAGATGAGGATGATACTCCGAATAATGTAAACAGTGTACATAATACCTCATCTCAGAAATATAGACAGATAAATTTCATATAATACAAGGCTCGTGCGCTACTCAAGGTATACAGTTACTGTTAATTTGGTTATGATGAATAAGGCATTGATACGAATGAAAAAGGTGATGGTAGGAAATGAAAATGAGGATGATAGATAATGATTGACCCCCGACTAGAAGAGGTTTAAACTGTAGTGTTTAAGAGAGCATCCCTGTGCAAGTCTATTCTCAAAGTTGAACTTTCTCCTTACATTTGGAATATGGAGGAAATGAGGATGATTCAACTTTGTGGAAATGCCATAGTGTGCCCTAGTGGTAAACATCTAAACCCGTGGAAAGAAAGAATGGAACTCATCTGAACACGTCATGGAAACGGTGATAGAGTAGGCCGAGAGTGGAGAATTTTCTCCAACTACATAGTGTCAATGATGTTGAATTCCATCAAACTGGAAAGTGAAGACTGAGAAGCTCCTGCCCAGGTATGGCAGCAAAAAAACATTTTTGGTCTCTTGTAAAGATAAATGGAAGTAAGAGAGGTTTTCTCATTTCTGAGCACCCTCTGTAATCTCATCTTCTCTCAGTGGGTCCTTTTTGTTCCCGTATGTGGGTGAGCTTGTCTTGGTGTCTGGGTATCCAACTTAGGCATGGTGATTCTGAGTGGTTCACTTCACATAGTATTTTTGTATTTTTTACCTTACTGGACTTGTTGTTTCTTCATTAAAGAGGTTACAGGTAAACATTTTTCTGGGTTGATGTTAGCCACCTGATAACAAGTATCTGGGTCTTAGAGTGGTGCCTATAATATCATGTAATATCAAGGTTATCGTATTACCATTTTGTTTACTGGGAACTGGATCTTGCAGCAATTTCTGGTGGGTATCTTTCGATGACATAATGAAGTGTACAGTTAATGCTATACTATACAATAGATATAGGAAGCAAAAGAACACTGTTGAATAGAGCAAGTTTTCTGCTATAAAATCTCTACTTTCAATGAATATTTCATAGGTTAACACCTGTACAAGTCCACCTGGAATTTGTCTTGTACCACACATTGTTGCAGCTGAAATGCATTACTCCTCACCTAACTGTACGCACATCCATTGCTTGTTCTCCATAAATGCTCAGTAAATGTCAATGAATATCAATTTACATAAATGGAATATGACTATACATGAAGTAGAAATGTGTAAAAAAAAAAAAAAAAAAATGATGTGAAAAATGAAATATTTGTTTAAAATATATTCTTTATTGTATGTAATTATCTTTGTTATGAAACATGTTTTTGACATCTTTAAAAAAAATGAATCATTTATGTTTTTTAATCTTGTAGCTAAATTCAATTCATCACTTTTATTAGTATGTCTCTTAATACCTTTTTTTTTAAGTTTTTTGTCTCTTCTTTTTTAGAAAGATTTACTTTTTTTTCTTTTTTAGAAAGATTTACTTTTTTTTCTTTTTTAGAAAGATTTACTTTTTTTTCTTTTTTAGAAAGATTTACTTTTTTTTCTTTTTTAGAAAGATTTACTTTTTTTCTTTTTTAGAAAGATTTACTTTTTTTTTTTTTTAGAAAGATTTACTTTTTTTTTTCTTTTTAGAAAGATTTACTTTTTTTTCTTTTTTAGAAAGATTTACTTTTTTTTCTTTTTTAGAAAGATTTACTTTTTTTCTTTTTTAGAAAGATTTACTTTTTTTTCTTTTTTAGAAAGATTTACTTTTTTTTCTTTTTTAGAAAGATTTATTTTTTTTTCTTTTTTTTAGAAAGATTTACTTTTTTTTTTTTCTTTTTTTTTACTTTTTTTACTTTTTTTTTTTCTTTTTTTTTCTTTTTTAGAAAGATTTACTTTTTTTTCTTTTTTAGAAAGATTTACTTTTTTTTCTTTTTCTTTTCAATTTTTATCTTTATTTTTTCCAAGCATTTTTCACTTTTCCTTTATTTATTTAAAAAAAAAAAATCTCTCTTCGTCTGTGGAACTCCTCGCCACTTCTTACTTCCCTGCCAACTACAATTTACAAAACTTGAAAGGCAATATCAGTCATCTTCTGTCTCCTTGAATCCTGCTGTCTCTGTTCCTTTCAACTTTGTTTGGGGTAAAATGGTTAAAAAAGAATTTCATCAGTCATCTTTTTTTTTTTTTTTTTTTTTTTTCTAAGTAATGCAGTATACCAAAGCTCCTAGGAGAACTTTAAAAAAATTATATAAATATAAAATTTTTGAAGGAAGATATGTGCATGTTAATTTGGGAATATCAAAGCAAATATTATTTACTTTTTCAGTTTGGAGATCCGGGGTGATTTTCTTTTTCTTGTAAGTTTATTTTCAGAAGTTATTTTATTTCAAGAATTTTCATTCATTTTTTTTTTCTTCCCACATTCTATTTCAGGTTAGATATTTATCGGAAGATTCCCAAAGATCTCACTCAACCCACCTACACCGGTGCAGTCATCTCCATCAGTAGTACTATTTTCATCATATTCCTCTTCATCTCTGAATTGTCCTCCTTCCTCACTACAGATGTGTAAGTGATAAAATCTTGTGAAATTCTTCCCTAAATCACGTCTTTATTTGTGATGTTATATGATTGCTGTTTTGTGACCAAAAAGATTGTCACTTTTTATTCAATAATAAAGAAATTCTTTTTATTTTTCTTTCTATTAAAATTAAGTTTAGAATAAAAAGATTAACATATCAAGGCAGGGTTCTTCAAGGGCCTGCAAGAGAAGCTTGCAACCCCTCCTTCTATTACTGTAATAAGATTAATCTTAACTGGGTGTCCGTCACATTTTGTCTTTGTGCCAAATGAAACTAGGCTTAGTAAATATTTATGATGCTAGAACAAAAAAAAAAAAAATAATGCAATTCATACTTATTTCTTATATATAAAGATGGTGATATACTGTATGTACTTATGTATAGTGTGAGTTTCATGGTTATGTTTTTATGAAAAAAAAATAGGTGTTGCACTATATATAATGTTGGCTTATACGCAAGGATACATGATATATTCCATCCTGGGTATGACGATAAACTACATCCGTGTCCTTGGTAAGATGATAAACTACTTCCGACAGGAAGGCTTCTGATCAGGAGGTTTTGAGGAGTGTGGAACCACCTCTTAATTGCTGGTGTTCCCAGGTCCACCCTGACCCTGGGTGGTAGCACCTGTTAGGGTCTTAGCTATGGGCAAATATTTAACTCCCAAACCTGGATCAAAACATTATGAGAGTGTAAAAATAGGTTTTGATACCAGAAATACTTTGTATAAAAAAATTATTACCAGAAATAGATTTTTGTAAAAAAAATGTTACCAACAATGAAAATTTTGTTGGTATTAAATAACCCACTGAGGTTGATATGCCATAAAACAAACAAATTAAACCAAATATGATATATTGAATTTCAATTATATTTAATATTTTTTTTCAATTTTACATGTTTGGATTTTAGGTATACTCTCAGACGTTTTATAAATTGTTACACTACAAGTCCCATAATCCTTTAGAGTTGTTGGAGCACTACATGTACTGCAGTTATGGCAACACTGGTGTATCTAAGGTATGATAGTTTGATGGAATCCCTCACTCATCACGCTGGTTTTGAAGGCAAGAGTGATCAGTCAACCATGCTATTTAATCCATAGCTGGTGGGGAGAGAAGTGATGGATTCTTTACTTTCCCCGAGGGTATTTGTATGAAAGTAAACATAATGAATTTGTCAGGGATTTGAACTTGGTTCACTGATTTCTTTTTCAAAATCACTAACCTTTATGACATCCACACATCCGTATTTCACAAATGGTACGAGATGAAATGTGTTATTTGCTCCTTTGTAACGTTAGGTTTCAAAATGATAGATCATTTTTCCATTTGGCTCTATCAATCTGAAATCGTAATCAGTGGGCTGATTTGGCTAGGAGAAAGCCCGAAATCGTAATCAGTGGGCTGATTTGGCTAGGAGAAAGCCCGAAATCGTAATCAGTGGGCTGATTTGGCTAGGAGAAAGCCCGAAATCGTAATCAGTGGGCTGATTTGGCTAGGAGAAAGCCCGAAATCGTAATCAGTGGGCTGATTTGGCTAGGAGAAAGCCCGAAATCGTAATCAGTGGGCTGATTTGGCTAGGAGAAAGCCCGAAATCGTAATCAGTGGGCTGATTTGGCTAGGAGAAAGCCCGAAATCGTAATAAATGTGTGCAGCTGTTGAAAAAATCTGCTTTGTACCATTTACAAAGTTGTTTCTTCTCATGTAAGTTATATTTTCCATTAGTCACATGTGCAAATTGTTGTTTATTCAATTTTAAATGCTGTTCTAATTAAAGATGTGCGGGTAGTGTAATGGATAATGGTTTGAAATGAGAAATCAGTTAGCTGACTTTGAATTCCAGTTGAATTTATTACATTTACTTGTGCACTAATAACCTTGGGAAAGGTATGAATCCCTCTCTTCTCAACCCCTTCCATCTAGATATGTGTTGGATAGCAGGACACAGTGGGAACTATAGCCTTGTTTAGTAAATGCTCTAGCACAGAGAGAAATGGCAATCTTCTGCAGGAAAATCTTCTGCTGAATCAGTCCTGAAAAAAAAAAGAGACCAGATTGCTCAAGTGTGTATCACATGTACAATACTTGGCTATGATTATAGAGTTTATGGTTTAAATCAGTGTTTCTCATCCTACCTGATGTAATGTACCTGCAATTTTTTCTCAGTTTGCAAAGGAGCAAAGCGTTCCAATCGAGCTTGGGACTTTCTGTGGTTTCTGATTTCCACAATTAAACTTGTCTGTTCCTTTTAACCACAATCGGATGAATTTTTTAAATGCCTAATTAGAAATATGTGTCCATAAAACTGGCCTCTTGGTATTTCAAGGTGTTGCTCCCACACAGTCACATCCCACATCATCACGGTGTTCTTATACATATATCAGTTCAATGGTTTTTCTGTTCATTATATCGTTAGTTTTTATAGCAATGACTCTTAGTATTAGTAATTGAAAAATGAAACTATAATAACTATTACACTAAAATGAAAATGTTAAAAAAAAAAAGCTGGTCAGATATCCCGTGGTGTGGAACATAACTACTATTCTTTGTTTCCAGGAAAATCTCTGTGTACCTGCAGATGATAGTTCACGTTCAGGCACCAGTACACGTATCACACTTTGAGTAGCACTAGTTTAAATGAGTCACTTTACTAAAGAAAGTTTGCAGTGTATTTCAAAATAATATTTTCTAGCAATCTATTCAATAAGGTTAATATCAGTAGTTAAAAATTAATAAGAGAGTAGTGGGGTGAGGTACTAATAAATTCTAGTAATGTTGATATTAGCTGTTTCCTTATATGGAAACATTTGGTATACATTAACTGAACAAGTGCCATTGTTGGTTGCGATATATAAAATCTTGGCATTAAAACAATTTTTCTAAAGAATAGGTTTCTCAATTTCTGTAACTGTTATCATGCTTCCTGGTACTGATCTCAGTTTCCTTAACCCTTTGTTTGAAGTAGTGTTGTAGGGGGATATTTGCGTGTGTGAAGAATAATTTCTATAGGGTGTGTGCAAAAATTAGATATCGTCCATGCATAATTTAAATTTTTTTTCTATTCAATCAAAGAATAAGAAACAATAAACAAATGTAAGAAAAGACAAAGGCATTATTTGATAAACAAGGAACTTTCATTACATTTTTGTAATAAAAATAATTTACAAAAATGTTGTAGATTTTTGAGTGAAATCTAGTTTGTTTAATTAATGTTGAACTCTGTGAATGTTTAACTTTTGTTAATGAGTTCAGATATGAAATGATGTTTGTTAGAATTAATTAATGAAGATTCATTAAGTTAGTTACAGGAGAAAGTTTTTTTTTTTTTTTTTTTTTTTTTTTTTTGGAAGTTACTGTTTAAGAAGTAAATCTTGCATAAATTTCTGTGCAATATTTTTTGTTCAAGGAAGTTGACTTCCTTTGATTGTTTTTTTTTTTTTTTTTTTTTTTTTTGAGACAATGTTCTCGAAGATTGAGAAATTAAAGTTAATTCAGTTGCAAGAATTAAGTTTAATCTTCTGTGTAATGAATTGGTGAGTGAGTGGAGATTTCTTTAAGTTTGTTGAATGTTTGTATAGATGTAAAAGCTTAAGATGATGTGACATCGAGTTTTGTTGCAAGTCATTCGGTGTCACGATTTTCATTGGTGAGTGTGAATTAATTTTCTCAATTTATTTGCTTTGGAAGGCTCACAGAAAATAGACACGAACTTAAATTTTTATAACAAGCTGAAAAAAAATACTTGTGCGTGGATGGATAGTAACTCCCACTTGCATGTTTATTGACCAATCAGAGCTTGAGTTTTTTTTTTTTTTTTTTTGAAAGTGTTTACGAAGTTGAAATTCTCCTGTGATCCACTTTTTGCACAGATTTGAACAAATTATTTTAGGTATTGAAATGATGTAGAATTTGAGTTCTACAGTGTCAAATGTGAACCTCTTGATTATTTCATTATTTCTGCCTCATGTTGCATGTGCTATCCATTTTAGTTGTTGCTGTTGTTGAAAGTGATTTGCTTTCTGTTATTTGATACATTTCTTTATAAAATATAAAAATTAACAAATAGGGGAAGATGTTTATTTGCTTCCTGAGAGTATTTTATAACAATGGCTATACATACTCCTACTTTTTCATTTGCAAAAAAAAAAAAATAAAAAAATAAAAGACAAAATCAATGCAGATATTGATCAATTTCTTTGTTATTAAAACTCCATTATTATTTAATAACAATATTTCAGGTATGATCAAGTTGCAGAAACAATAAACTCAGGAGTTTTAAATATATTAAATTTTAAAAAGATTTTGTAAGATTATTTTATAAAAAAAGTACATGAATATTTATTTTTTAAATATAAAAGTATAATTTCACAAATAAAAATAAATATTGCCCCAAAAAGTTTAAAATTAATTGAATATCTGTAGATTTCAAAGAAATTTAAGTTTCTCAGGCATTCAAATTTACATACCTCCACTTTTTTGCTAAAAAGCATTATAGCATGATGAAAAAAGGCCCCAAACTTAATATAAACAAAGTTATATTTTCAGAATGTTTGCTATTATTAAGAGGAAAGACCAAAGCATTTTTAATTATTTGTAAAATGTTTTTTGACTCTTTTCTAACAGGTTCAAAATTTGGGTTAAAAATTTTTTTTTTATGAATGAATTTATTTGTGAAATTATTTTTCTATGAAAATCTTGGTAAAAAATATTTTTTTTACATCTGTTAACACTCATTCATTTACTTAATTTCATGAAATTTTGTAGAATTTACTTAAAGGCAAGGCTCCTTGGAGAAATCAAATCAAATTTTTTTTTTTTTTCAAACTCTTACCAAATTCCCTAAAATTTGCTCCAAGTCATAAAATATAACCTGTAATAAAACTCTTTAATTAGATAAGCTTTTAATTGCTTTTATAAATAATATATATATTAAGGATATTATGAAAAAAAAAAATTGATAAATAATGAATTTTTACAAGAA